GCGGGCGCTGCCCGGCGGCGCCGACAACGCCTCGGCCGCCTCGGCCGCCTCGGCCGCCGCCGCCGCGTCCCCGGGCCCGCAGCGCAGTCTGAGCGCGCTGCACGGCGCTGGCGGCTCGGCCGGGCCCCCCGCGCTGCCCGGGGCGCCAGCGGCCAGCGCGCACCCGCTGCCGCCCGTGCCCCTCTTCAGCCGCTTCCTCTGCACGCCGCTGGCGGCCGCCTGCCCGTCGGGGGCCGAGCAGGGCGACGCGGCGGCCGGCGAGCGCGAGGAGCTGCTGCTGCTGCAGAGCACGGCCGAGCAGCTGCGCCAGACGGCGCTGCAGCAGGAGGCGCGCATCCGCGCCGACCAGGACACCATCCGCGAGCTCACCGGCAAGCTGGGCCGCTGCGAGAGCGGCCTTCCGCGCGGCCTTCAGGACGCCGGGCCCCGCCGCGACGCCATGGCCGACGGGCCCTGGGACTCGCCGGCGCTCATCCTGGAGCTGGAGGACGCCGTGCGCGCCCTCCGGGACCGCCTGGACCGCATCGAGGTGAGCGCCGCGCGCCGTCGGGCGCGGGCGGGGGGTGTGGGAGGGGCGGCCGGCGGGAAAGGGGAGGCCGGTGCCTGCCGCCACTGAGACACGGGCCCGGGCGGGGGGGCGGCGCGGGAAAGGCTCCTTCCCCTCGCCTTTCCCTCCAGGCACCTCTGTGGCAAGCCTCAGTTTCCGCATCTGTGAAACGGGCGTCACAGTGTCCACTCGTAGTGAGGATTTACTAAAATGTAGGTATGTGAAAATGGTTGGCACGTGCTAGGACCTCGTTAAATGTCCGTTTCATTCGTTTCTTCCAGACACCCCCAAAGCAGCACCAGTCCCACTCGCTTCCTAGGGTCGGGAGGGAGAAAGGAGGCGCTCTCCAAGGGACTCGGGAATCTGCTGTCCTGCCGAAGAGCAGGGAACAGAGCGTCCCATAAGCCAAATCCGCGTGCCCCTCAGCGCTGCCCATCTCCATATCCCCCATTCGGCCTCAGACCACGGACCCAAGGGCAGCACCTTAAAGTGCTGGCCCAGCGCCCAGTACCTGGAAACCAGCAGCTCTGGGTGGGGACTGACTGGAGAATAGGGCCTCCCGCGGGTGGACACCTTCTTCCGACGTCCCTGGCTCAGGTCAAACACAGGGGGTCTAAGAGGGGGAGTCTGCTCTTGGCTGTGGTGTGGTCCGTGGCCATTTCTCCTCTGAGGTTGCGAGACCCCTACCTCCCTGGGGGAGCTGGGCAGACTTGGAAGGATGGATGTCTGCAAGACACTGACCACCCCCCAGCCATCCATGATTTCCAGTTGGCAGGGAAGGGGGTTAGCAACAAAATTGAGTCTGTGGAAAGAGGTGGGGGAGAGAGAGAGGCCAAAGCCCCCTTTCATATTTTCATATTTTCCCCCAACCTAGCAGAGCTGGCAAAGGCAGAGGGAGAAGAGCCTGGAAGAAAGGAAATGTAGGGACTCCCCCTCCTCATGGCTCCCTCAGATCAACCTCTGGCCTGACAGCAGAGACAAGGCCTGTGGGGAAGGCATGGCCATGGCCCAGCAGCCTTCCAGAAAGTCTGTGCTCGTGTCATCACCCACCCCACTGGGGGTCAGAGTGCAGCTAGGCCATCACAGCCAACCCTCTCACCTTACCTGTGAGAAACCGGGGCTCAGCACCCTCCTAGGTGAGTGGCAGCGGCAGGAGGAACGCCCAGGAGGCTTGTCTGCCAGGCCAGCAGCATCCCCTTTTCCTCCCTCGGCTCTGGGGCATTTCTAGAATGAGAGAGCCAAGAGCAGGAAGATAATCAGGGGAATGCTGAAATTCAACAGTGCAGGGGAGCCTCAGTTTCCTCACCTGTGAAATGGGGACAACAATAACACCTACCTCGTTGGGCTGTTGGGAAGATTGAGTGAGTTAGTCTTTTCGAATGGCCCAGAACAGCCATTGTCTGGCAGCGATGTGCTCTGTCAATGTGAGTGGTTGGTATTTTTGTCATTAAGCTATAATATTGCTAATTTTTTAAGTAGCCAGAAATAAAAATGGGAACAAACACCCCTCTTTTAGGAAAAAGAGTTTATTAATGTAAAAAAAAAAAAAAAGCTGTGGTTTTCAGTAAACTTCCTCTTGCCTGCCCTAGCCCCTGCCTCCACACCCAGATGGCACCTGTGGTTCCTCCCGCGTCTGGGGTTGGCAGAGCTGGGCTTGCCCTGGACCTGTTCCCCAGCACCTGTGCATTCGGCAGGGTGGGCTCCCCTCCAGTTAGCCTGCTGAGGTTGGGGGGCAGGGCGGGGATCCTGGCGGCTGGGATTTGGCACCAGATTGGCCTCCCGGGTTGGGAGAGCCCTGGCTTCCCTGCACATAGCCCTCCGGCTTTCTGAGCTCAGTGGACCAGGAGGGAGAAGGGCGGGGCTCTGCTTGCCCACCAGGTCTGCCGTCTGAGCCTCGCAGCAGCTGGGGTCTGGACCCCGACAGTCCAGTTGGGCAGTCAGATTACTGATCTCAGCGGGACCGCGTGCATCGTGTAGCCACTACCTACTTCCTCCCCTCTCTTTTCATCCAATATCCTCAAAAGGAAGCCCCCGGATTCCCAAGGTCTGTTTCCTTGTCCCTCCCCTCTCTCCCTTTATGGCACACTGAACGTGCTCTGGGGACGTCACCGGAGTTGATCAATTGAACAGGAATGATTCAGTCCTTATCTCTCTGAATGCCTCTCCAACATCTGACCCCATCCCTCCCTCCTTCCTACAGACCTCCAGGCCCTTGGCTTCTAGACACCTCTCACCTGCTCCTTCTCCCTCTCTGCTTCTGTGTCCCCTTTTCGGGGTCCTCCTCCTTTAATGGTTGCGCCCGCCTGGCTCTCCTTTCACTTTCCCTGGGTGAACTCAGCCACACCCTGCAGCTTCCAACACATATTCTACTGTGGTGCCCCAACCTGAACTCAGGTCCTCTGCCAACCTGCTTTTCATGTGTGTTCTGAGAAGCTCCTCCCCTCCCCTCCTCCTTCCAGTCGACCTCGTCTCTCTGGATGCTTGCAGCAGCCTCCTCAACCCACCAGACACACCCCTCTACCCATCTTCCTCCAGGCAGACCCAGGGATCTTCCTTAAGCCCATCATGGGGCTTCCTTGTGGTGCAAACTCCCCAGCCTGCTCCCAGGCTGTCTTTTCAGAGCTGGCCCAACTCCCAGTTCCTTCTTGCCTCTGCCCAGATTACCCCCAGAGTATCCATACTCATCACCTAGGAGTTTGCTCTGAGGACACCACCTCCCAGAGGCCCTCCCTAATCACACACTGTCTTTTTCCTAGCCCCAAGCCTTCTCGCATAAGCCTGGGCACATCCCTGCCTGTCTCCACCTGGCCCATCTCTGCATCACCTCCTCCCTCGCCCATTCAGCCTTCCACCAAAGGGGAGGGAGGTTCACACTGGCCCAGGCCTCCCCCTGAGGCCTCAAGTGAGAGCCACACTTGTGGCCTTACGAGAAATTGTCTTCCTTCCTGTGTTTTTATTTTTGTTATTGTTGTTGCTGTTAATTGAAAAAAGTCAAAAGGTGTTTTGGGGGGGAGAAATCACATTTATTTCCACCATTGTATCCGTTTTTTTTTTTTTTTGGCCCCTCTTGGTCCTTTCTCCAGAGGTAGACATTGTTCCAGAGTTGCTGGTTGCTGGTAATTACCATTTTAATGATGGCCATAATACACTGGAATCCATCTCTGACTCCATCATCCATCAATCCTCCGATCGTCTCCCATTACTGGAGATGTAGGTTGTTCCTAATTATTTTTCTTCTAGATGCTCATTGCAGGATCAGTTTCATGCAGATAGTTGTCTGGTTTTTTTTTTTTTTTCTTTTTAAGTCTCTTGAATTATCTCTTTAGGCTGGAGTCCCAGGAGTGGTATTACTGCATCAGAGGATATTGATCTTTTATGGCTGTGGCCAAGAACCACTTTCCAAAAGGGTTGAACCATTTATATGGCAACCAGCCATATATGCATGTTCCAGGGTTCCATTTTTGCATCAATTTAATATATGTGTAAAATGAAACTTTAAGATTGATTTAATCAGCAGTTCTTTGACTGAAACCACATCCCTAACCTGGCCTGGCAAGCTGGTTGCCTATCCCCATCTTGGAGTGGGAAGACAGGGGTAAGGAACACTCTGATGATAGTCACAGGGGACCCTGGACTTGATAACAATTATAGCTCACACTCACCGAGCACTGCGAGTTCGCTCATTTAATCCTCATTAAATCTCCATGAGGGAGGTAACAATTTTATTCCCCTTTTACAGATGAAAGAAACCCAACATTCAAAGCGGTTAAGACATTGGCCCAAGGTCACGCAGCAATGGGGCCTGGATTTGACCCTGTCAGTGTGTCTGGCTCCAGAGCCCTTCTTTGTGCTCCATTATTTTCTCTAGATCCACCTGGAAAGGTCAGACCTCACCTACCTTCAGGAGAGTGAGAAAGAGATGAGGGCAGTGCCTGGTGCTGGATGTGGTCCTGGGCCATTTCTGCCTCTGCGCACCCAGAGCAAGAATGATGAGGGCCAGTCCTCAAAGGCTTGTCCTGCTGGCTGGCAGGATCATCAGAAGGCTCACGTGGAAGCTTTGCTGATAATAGATAACAATAAGTAGTATTTATTAGCTTATCAGTCTTCAGCCCCGGGAAGTGGGCTGTATGCGTCTGCATCTTCCGGATAAGGACATGGAGGGCCAGAGACTCTAGAGGAATCAGGGCCTGGCACACCACCCCACTCCCACCCTTGGCTTTGGTTTCCACTCCATAAAATGATATGGTGAGCCAGATATTCTCTAAACACCTTCCAGCTCTAAATATTCTCTGAAATAGGCTGGCTGGTGGCATAAAGTGGAGTTCTTGTGATTTTAAGCTCTTCACCTCCCTCAGGTTTTTTTGTTTTCTTATCTGTAAAATGGGTGCAAGAAGGGGCTGGATTTGGTCCCGGCCCTTTGGGCTCTAAATTGGGAATTCTTGGGCAGATGTGTCCTGCTTAGGAATTGTGGGGGGGGGGGGCGGGGTTACATGTGTGCGTGGCCCCAGCCACCCACTCCCACACCTCCAGTTTCCGAGGGAAATCTGCGGGTAAACACAGTGGTCTGGAGAAGCTCCTGGTGCCTTTTCTAAAGTCTGTTGGTTGCTTTTGCTTTTCTCCTCCATTGCTGCGCATTCTGGCAGCTTCTGCCTGGTGGGGGCTGGTTCCCCTCACCCTGCCTCTTTGGCTGTGGAGGGGGCTGGCAGGGTGCAGTGACAGAACTTCTGCCCGTTGAGGATGTGGAAACTCAGTGCCCACCAGCCACCTGCAGACGCTGTGGCTAGCCTCGCCCCATCTCCTGGTGGGGTGCACATACTGGGAAGCCTTAACCCGCACTCCTGCCAGTGTGACACCTTTGCTCTAGCAGGAAACCTGGTGTTTCAAACCCCGGCTCTGCCACCTGCTGGCTGTGACCTCAGAAAATTCCTTCTTCTCTCTAATCCTTAGCTTCCCCATCCGTCAGATGGGGGGGAGGGGGGGGC